TATATATATATATATATATAGTTTAGATAATTGAAATATATAATATAATAGCTATTTATTAATTTTATTATGTAATTCATTATTTATAAATTTGCCATTACTTTTGTTGGATTTTTTAATAAATAATTATTTAGAATTTGTTAAATGTTGTGAAATCTTGATTAAAGTTATTTTATAGAAATGTATAACTTTTGTAATAGATTTTTAATATTTTAATGTTAAATAATATTTCTTTTAAATGAAAAGAAGTTAAATGTATTTTTCATAGATATTTTTTTTAATATTATGTTATTTATTTTTGCATTCTATCACTAAATTGTTTTTGTTTGGAGCAGGAAAGAACTTTATTCGTGGATTGCTTTTTTCAATATCTGATTTCAAATATTTTTTTATACATTTGTTATTGAATTGTAGAATTTCACTATAATCTCTAGATAAAAAAAGGAAGGTTTTTTTTTTTAAATATTTATACAACGTATTTTTAAAATATTGTTTTGAAATAATTTTTACTTCGAACGAGGAAGAGTTTTTTTTTTTATATTTATTAAACATTATGACTTATATGTTAAAAGTTATATGTTTTTATATTCCATTTATTAGTGGATTATTTTATCTCTTATTCTAAAATTTTTGTTGGATAAAAAAGGAAACTTTTTATAGCGTGTTTTCCAATAGATATTTGTTAATATTTCCAATACATTGAGAACATTGCATTATTTATAAAACGATCTGATTAAAGCAAAAAATTAAAATCAACTTTTTTTTTAGTCTAAGCAAATAAAATCATATTTATATAATTTAATGGAAAAATATTTTATAAACTCATTGTATTTATGAAAGATTAATAGTTTATGCACGATTAAAGAATAAATAATTTAATTTTTTATTATTAATAGAAAAAGATTTTCTAATGATTGTGATAAGATAAATGATTTTTTTTAGTAACAATTATATTATTATAAAATTAAAGATCATAAATAATTAATAGAAATATATAAAATATTTCTTGATGATATATTGTTATTGTTTTATATGTTAATATATTAACAAAAATACTAAAAAAAAAGCTTTTAATTTTATTTAGACAGACATAAAATCTGTGACAAAGATATATTTGACAGTTGATGATTAATCAAAAATAAATATCCTCTATCCATAAAAGTGTTTTATACAAGATGAAGGTAATATTTGTTCACTAAATCAGAAAATCGAATCATTCTTCCTTGTAAAAAGTAAAAATTGAGGAAGAAAGTTAAATTTCTTTCAATCGTTATCGATGATCGATGATGATAAATTTATGTCATTTCAATAAAGTAACCATTCTTTTACTCCAGTGTTTCTCAACCTATGAATCACAATTTCAACGAAAATCACAAAGTGATCTTTGAGGGATTTATTTGTATAATTTTTATTTAGAATTCTTTATAAAAAAATGTTATAATAAAAATTTTCAACATTTATTTATCCGGATATATCTATGTACAAATAAAATTAATTATTTTATGATTTATTGCAGCAAATACTGAAAAAATAATTAAAATTCATCATGATTGTACATTAATATTAAACATAATGTATTTATAATGGATTTTATAGTATATGTATACTTTCTACTCCTAAAAAATTATACTACTTAACATTATATTTATTTTATCCTATTAAAAGTGCACTTTTATGAGAACAAAATAATAAATAATTGTACGAAAAAAAGAAATTTACAATTTATTTATTAATTGGAATTATGACCCAAAAAATTGTTCTAGTTGAAAAGTAACGATCAAGTATTTTCGAAAAAAAAAAAAAAAAAACAAAACACTAAAAAAATATTATTTCATTTTTATCTTATATATTTAACATACGATATTTAATTAAATTTTTAATATAATATCCTTACTGGAGAATTGTGTGCATTTAATCCATCCTTGATAATATATTTATTATTAAATTACCTATTAAAGATGCAACTTTATGAAGAGAGGTTGCAATTCATTTTAAAAAAAATAGATTTTTGTGCACCAAAAAACATTGAAAAATACTGTTCTGATCGATGATCGAATATTCTCGAGAAAGATGAACGAATCGAAAGGATATTTGTTTCCTTTTCCTCGATATTCGAGTCATTCCATGGTTTCCAATGAATCTCGATCAAGGAGGAAATTACTTTGGAAAAATGTGAAACGCGGAAGAGCGTTGCTGGTGTCGGTGGATCGATAAGCTGGGGCTTCGATAGCTTTTAGAGTGTTCTGTCGATTTATCTCGAGCACTTTCCCATTAACGTTTGTCGGCAGATTGACGAACGACAGAGGAAAATCGGGCAGAAATTGAAACCAAGTACTCCATACACCGTTGAATGATGAAAATACGACTTTTTTTTTTCGAATTGCTTCTTTGATTCCTTTTCTTTTTTTCTTGACAGAGATGAAATTCACTTTTTTTTTTAAACGAATTATTTAATATTCGATTCGAATCGATTGTAAATATGAAAATATCGATTTTGTTGAAAACAAATAATATATTTCACGTTTTGATTAACTTCGAAAGACATTTATTTGCAATATGGTTGTTGAAGTAAAATTAAAATATATCCTGTAAATTTTAAATAAATTAGAAATCAGATAGTAATAAACAATTTAGAAAATTATTAATTAATTCCTTATTTTATTATTATTTCATATTTATAATACACAACAATCATCATGCAACTTATAATATCTGTAAATACAACAATTTATTATAATATATATATATATAACTTATTAATAATTATTAAATAATTTATTTATAATTTATTAATTCACTATCAAATAAATTGTGCAAAAAAGAATTTCTAGAAGAGTTCAAATAATATTTCTTGAAATAAAAATAACAAAAAATTATCATATATATATATACTCGTTACGAATGATATAGAAATTTTATTGAAAATCAAATATGATGAAACGTTTTCAATTTCCATACCTGTG